AAATTGTGTGTAGCTTCCATTACAAGTAGATGTGTATAAGAGACAGATTTCTTGTGAACATGTTAATGGATGGATGTGCCACCAGGTTATGGTTTTTATCATTTACTTTTAATACCTAAACACCAGTATTATTCTTTCGATTTGAATTTATAAATCGTCAGATAGTTTTGGGTTTTCTGTTTCTGTCAATTCCCGAAGACGAGCGCGCTTGGTCTGTTTAGACATGGTAGTCCTGTTTGTCATCTAATTACTTTTTAGGGGACGGATTTCTCAATTAGCTTAATGAGCCCTTCTTAAAAGTGGTTCCAGTTTTCTTCCACGGATCTGGATGACTTCATAAATTCATTACTTAATTTTTCGGCAGAGTCGAAGAACTTCGTTCTTAGCTTATTTCACAACAGACATTAAAAATCTAAGTTAAAATTTAAATTTAATTAAGGAAGATCAAGATACTATTAAAATACAATCCTTAGAAAAACAATAGAAAAAAAAAATAAAAATTTAAGTTAAAACAGTTTTAAAAAACAATTTTCTAGCACAAAAAATATGCAATACAACATCAAAAATCTATCAAAGTACTTTACATGAAAACACAGTACATTAAAATTATTTTTCTGCAAATACACGAATAAATAAAATAATAAAAGATATTCATTAATAATATTCTAGTTTTTTTAAAGATATTTTCGCAAATTTTCTTCTAGTATTTAAAGTATTATTTAGCACAATGTAATTAAGTTCTTTCTGAAAGGATTTAAAAATTTATCCCTCCTTAAAAAACCCCTAAAACTATAAAATGTGTATTCTTGGCCTAAATTGTTTTTTGCAAGTCCTACATTGTGCAGATTTAAACTCACTGTTTACAGTAACAGGTAACTATTATTATCAACCCGGAATACTTTACTAGTATGCAAAAATTAACCGAAATTAGAAAGAAGCTATTTTTAACTGGTTTGTGTAGGGATATATACCAGTATACACCACACAAAAAAAAGTTAGGGTCGCTAGGGGGTGGGGAAATTTTTTTATGAGGCGTCAAATGTCACTGACCCTTGCTTAAAATACTAATACATTTATCTCAAGAACAACAACACGCTATGGTATATGGTTGATCTTGGTGTCAAAATGCACAGAATTATACAAACAATAAGAAAATAAAATAAATAAAAACGCTCATAATCAATTCATGGCCTTCGAAAACGAGGTCAAAGGTCAAAATATCAAAAATGTTTGTTTTACTCACTGAAATGGCCTATATCATTTCAAAAATTGAAGGGGGTTGCGGAGATGAAACCATTAATATATAATATAAAATAGAGGAATGGGCGGCCACAATGACGGTGACGTCACTCGATTTTGGAACGCGATATTCGAAAACTAGTCTCGTGAACACTGGGTCCCAAAAAAAACAACTGGTGCTACAGGATTTTGAGCTAGTGTTAGACTGGGTTCCAGTCCCTAAACTTTGTCTTAATCAAAAAAAAAAAGCTGGAAAATCGATTTTAGCACCAATGGTGTTCCATATTACCTATTTGCTTGGTGTTTCATAGTATACTTTTTCTTGGATTTTTCTAATTCGCATCAAAAAAGTTTCTCGACATAACTGACGCTGGTGGCGTTTTCTGAAATGTGCTAAATACTATGAAAAAACAATAAATTAGAGACTTGTGGCAAGTCTAAAGCCTGGTTCTCACGAGAGCCCTAGTATCCGGATCGGGAGCTAACCGAGCGTTATCCGGATACCACTAACGGTTAGCAAGCGCTATCGGTTAGCAAGTTGAGCGCGATCCTATCATCAACCAATCACACGTACGCGTTTACAATGTCCAGTTTCTTATTGGCCAGTGAACCGATCATCATATTCTTGGTATCAGGATCGGGATCTTGGTCGTACGGATGCACGGCAAACCGTTAGCTGCCGTGTAAGAACATAGCCTTTGCTAGTGTTAAAAAGTAGCGAATTTCCTAAAATGGGCCGACTTTCAATGTCTTGCATTCGGTAAACCCATAAAAAATCGTGTCAAACTTTAGATATTCCAATGTAAATTTGGCCGTTCTTTTCATTTATATGGGTTTCACTTATGAAAATGTCTCAATTATGTGTAAAATAACAATTTGCCCCAGTTTTTATTTCGGAAATGTGCGCTAGACAGGGAGTCAGCTGATTCACTCAAGAGTAACGAGCTGGTAACGACGACACAGCCGCGCCAACTGAGGAGAATGGTCGTCGCGAGCGGAAAATCGAAAAATTGGGACAGGCAAAAATATTCAATAATAATAATATAATAAGACGATTGCATTTTTGAAGAATTAATCTTTCAAAAAGATGTTTGCTGGTTTGGATAAGGAAGTCTTGAAAGTCGTGATCTTAGAAGTGACGTTAAATAGGTTTGTTACCAAATTCTCTTACCTGTGTAGGCATAGCCTGGCGTAGAGAATACGGAATACCACTCTCTACTGTCTGGCGCGACCTAGGCCTAGGCCCCTAGTTTAGTAGTCATACAAACTATAATAATTATTTCAAACATTAGACAAACAAACAACACTATTTTAAATAAACTACATTCATTTACATGTTAAATATTAAATCGATGGAACAATCTAGGCACTACTACTACTACTACTGCTGCTACTGCTGCTGCTAATTTAA